TGAACAACTCCCCTATATATACCCACACTGTCTATAAATAGACCATTACATCAGCATACATAATGAGTCTGGAATTTACTATAAATTTCTAGAATGTTCCATTACCTTCTATTGCCTCCTACAGTGTTCTATTACCTATTCAACCAGGTTCTAAACAAATCTAGAATATTTCACCCAGACACAGCACGGTTCTAGAACATTCTCAGTGACCAGGAAGATTTAAATAAGTCGCATGCGATATGCCCCCCCTCTCAAGAATATTATAACATATAATATTACATGACTAGCAATGACGCCAATAATACGAATACGATAACAATTTAAAATAAAACAACAATACAACATATCAAATCGAACTGAATACATAAATTCGAAAATCACATACAGTAGAATATAATAAAATATGAAATACAGTCATAAACGAATAACATTCTACTATACTGTTCAAAAGTTCCTCAATCCATCAATCTACTCAGGTAGTCCGCTACCATATTGTCCCGGCCAGGAATATCCTCAACACGATAATTATATCCTTGCAGAGTCATCGCCCATCTCATCACTCGGTCATTTGCAAACTTGGCTTTATCCAGGTAAGACAATGGTTTATGATCCGTCTGCAAAATGAACTCCACACCGGCTAAATATAGGCGAAATTTATTCACGCCCCATACAATGGCTAAACATTCCCTTTCTACAGTTGAATATTTCTTTTCTGCATCGGATAACTTCTTACTTGCATAAGCAACTGGATGTAGCTTCTCACCATGATTCTGAGATGCGTCCGTCCGCAACAACAAATGGTTTCTGTGGGTCTGGCAACTTCAAAATTGGTTTGCCCAATAAGTATTCCCGCAAAGTGTTGTATGCTTTCTCCTGGGCCTCTCCACATACAACTTTGTTGGGTTGTCCTTCCTTAGTAGGTCACTCAGGGGTGCTGCAATAGTTGCGAATAAGGGGATGTGGTCTCTGTAGCAATTGACCAGCCCAAAGAATGATCGGACACCTTTC